TTTGCTCCACAGAGGGTCAAACAGCCTGCATCTCATTGTCTCTTCTGTCCCTTTAATTAGTGCCCGTCCTCCCCCTTCTCCCTCTCACTCCCTTGTCCCCCCTTCCCATCTCCTCTCAGCACTTGGTTTGCAACGCTCTGTTATTTCACCTTTTACGCATGCCGTCTCCTTCGCCCCTGCCCGTCTGACACCTCTGCCTCACGCTTATCATAGAAACATAACATTTAAATACAAATAGAATGGGGAATAATTTAACCCCTATTTGCACTGGGGAAGGTGCTGAGGCTTCATATAAACACAGCCAGGGAGATTCATAGATGTTATATTTTTATCTGACAAGATACATTTCTTCACTCCTATGCCTTACAGCCGGCTTTTCCTGATGGGCACAAGCCTCCACAACTAGCACAGCGGCCAGGAAGCAGGGAGCCTGGTTTCAGAGGCATCACAGAATCACAAAACATCACAGAATCACAAAACATCACAGAATCATCAATGTTGGGAAAGAACTTCAAGATTATCAAGTCCAACCATCCACCCTACAGCCACTAAGCACTAAGCCATCTCCCAAAACACCACATCTACCTGTTTTTTTGACACCTCCAGGAACAGTACCTCTACCACTTCACTGGGCAGCCTGTTCCAATGCCTCACCACTCTTTCTGTGAATAATTTTTTCCTAATATCCAATCTGAACCTCCCCTGTTGCAACTTGACCATATTTCCTCTTGTCCTATAACTAGTCACTAGGGAGAAGAGGCCAACACCCACCTCTCTGCAACCTCTCCAGCCACTCCTCCTCAAGCCTGGGGGATATTGGAAATGCCACCAGAGGGACATCTCTGGGGACTCTGTTTTGCCATTATGGTGGTCTTTCTCTCTCTGCCCAGCCTCCTGGGACAGGAATAGGTAGTACTGGTTTCTGTTGCTTGTTGACGGCCAAAGGGGGTGCACTTGAGCTGAACTTAATTTTCAGTATTTTGGGAGTACTTCAGGCTGCTCATGGTGAGAGCTTTGGGCTGCACCTGCAGAAACCTCCTTGGCTTTTCTGGGTGCCACGTCCCAGAGAAACAGCCATCCACTATTACTTCCATGGTGAAGTAGACATCATAGACTCACAGTGTGGGGAAAGGCTAATAATGGGGTGAACACTAATGAGAAAAAAACTAAAGAATGTGGAGAAGAGTCTCACATGGACATCACATTCAACCTCTGGACTGTAGGACAGTGTCATCGTTCAGAGTGCTGATGTTAAGGACTGCCTCTACAGCAAAGTCAGTCGGGTTTCTTCATTAATATGTAGTATTTCAGAGTGAAATTAAACTGAAACTATCTCTTTGGTATGTTTAATAGACAGAAATTTGTACAGGTCCTTTCTGACAAAAACAAAGGTGAGGTGCCCAGATGTGCATCAATACTTGATGAGTGGCCTTGTGGAGCTGCATAGAATAGATTTTCATCATACCTGTCTTTACCCTGTCTTGGTTTCCCTCACAGGAAGGAGATAGGGGCTGCTTCTCATGGCTGCTTACCTCCACTGTGTAAGACAAGATGCTGCTACAAGGTATTTTCCATCTCCCTTGGCCATGGGCCAGCTTAGGCTGTAGCACACAGGCATGTTCACAGCTAATGTGGAGGGCATCTCAGACCATGGGCTTGTGCCCAATCTCTTTTTGTACTTCTTTTCTGTCCCTGGACAGTGGTATTTCTGTTATCTTTGACTGAATGTTCCCTGGGCTTTGGTCTTAAGGGGTCCAGTCTGAAGTTTACCCCTCAGTCCCACAGTGTGAAATAAGTATGATAGCATAAAGCTCAGCAATGCAGGTCATAAGCAACAGTCTGCTCAGTGCTCTGAAACTCAGATGTGGGTCCTGTCTAGGAAGGATAGAAAGGGGAAAAAGGCAGAAGCATGGGACTTAACAGGCTAGTGTGGGTGGACCACACCTTGCAGACAGGCAGAACCCAGGGACAGCTTGATCTGTTGATTCCTCCAGGTTTGTGTGCAGCATAAATCTTTGGTTTCTGTAGGATGTAGAGTGGCCTGAGTGATGGTAGAGCAAGGTATTGCCCTCCAGTCTCATTTGAGTATATTGGAAAAGTCTGATGGGGAGCACCAGTGGTCAAACACATCCTGCTGATAACAGCACATCCTCTCTTCATTTTATTCTGGCAGTCTCATGGTTTTATTCAGACATATTTACAAAGCAGAACTAGCTGTGCCGGTGTATAGAATGTCAGTTTTTAAGACCTGGAGGGGCAGCTTATAGAGCACTCTACAGGTACGAGGTCTTACTAGCCAAGACCAGGAATGTGCTGAACAGCCCCAGCTGCTGGGCCCCTGCCGCTCTCTTCCTATCCAAGGTTTGTAAGGGACATTGTTAAAACATGCTTCTGAGCTCCCTGGCAAGGCTGGGACAAGAAAGGTAAATTTAGCACTTTGTTAGAAGAACCTCTCATAGAAAAAAGCTTGTTAAACCAACTCATTTTTTATCAGCTGAGTATGTGATTGTGTAGATTTCTGAGACAGCAGATGTGACAAATGATTCCCTTGACAACCTAAGGCACAGCTTTTCAGGAGACAAGGCACGTATTTGGAGTCAAGGCTGGAGGTGACTTCAGACACTCCTGAGCCTCAGATGTCTATGGAAGGTCACTTCATACCAGGTCCCTTGGAGGGGCTCGACCAGCAGTCCCTAGTGAAGGTGATCCTCACCCATGGCATAGCTTGTTTCTGGTTGTCTGATGGCCACCTTGTGGGCAGCTCATCAAAGCACCACAGCTTCTGATAGCCAGCTCTGGGGACAGACATCACCACTCCTAGTGTCCTGCAGAGATGCAGAAAAAGGGGACAAAATAAAAATAAAATAGAATTAAATAGAATATAGAATTAAGTGGTTCCTAAAACATCTGATTTTAGCTTTGCATAAACTAAACCAGACAAGGCAGTTTCAGGCTAGTTTCAGGCTAGAGAGATTTGCTGACAGAGGAGGGATGTGATTTTTTTTTAATGATACATTTATATTAACAAAAAGCCTGGTGAAAATACAGTTACACAGCTATAGGAGTGCTTTTGCTGATGCAGCTTATTTGAAACAGGGGAAACTGCATAAAGTACAACATAACAGATGCTTCCTCTGTGCTGGAAGTGTTTACTAGACACAAACTTTCTAGGCAAAGCCTTTTGCTGGTGGTGTTCCCAGTTTGTTTCCACTGCTCTGAAATATCTCCCATCTCCCGGGACAGCTGTTCTCATTCTCTGAGTGTTTTCTTCCGATATCTGGAGAACCACTGGATTTTGGACTGGACTCTTTCTCTAAGGTTTTGTCTGGCCCTAGACTGAGAGATGCCCCATGGAGCAAATTTAAATTCAGTAGCTGTCTCTCTAAGGCTTATACCTCACCTCTGAGAATCTCTTTTGTGGGTTAGTTTGGCCATCAAAAAACCAAACCTTTCAGATGTCCAGTGCGCCTTCTTCTGAAGTGGGGACAACCCACATGGTGTTAATTAGGGTTCTATGCATTATTTAAGCATGAACTTTGAAAAGTCCTTTTGCTTAATCAATTGCACCATAAAGTAGGCATATTTCTTGCTTTAGTGGGTCTATCAGAAGGCTATTCCTGTTTTCGTGCCCTATTAGAAATACACATATACCCTCCTCAACCTATCTTTCCTTCCTTTTCAGCAGCCTAACTGAAGGCAACATAACTCTGCTCTTTCTGTGGGCTGTACACTTTTTGTTCACATGGATAACTCAGCTGCAGGAATGAAAACTCCTAATATCTTCACTTGGTATCCAGTGCATGAAAAATTATCCTCATCCAAGGCTATAAAGTAATTTGCCAATTTTCAGGTGCATCTTGATCAGGCACTTTGATCAAACACTTGTTGAAGCAGAACAGATTGTCTTCACCAATGATTTTTCAGTGAACAAAAGTGACATAAATCGCCCAATTTGTCAGCCAGAAAAGGGTTGTTACAAACCAATGTTTTGTTCAGTGTTAGGTTAACGTGCATTAAGAATATTTTGTGGTTTTGTTGGGTTTTTTTATCAAACTATTTATTTATTTTCATTTACTTATTCAAATTTGTTACATCTGCTCTCCAAACTGCTTTGAAAAATATCTCAGTTCACACATTTACATAGTGTTTAATGAGCGATAAACAAGACATTTATGAATCATGTGTAAATGGTCTATTTACATACGTGATGCAAATTCTGTATTTTTTTTTTTTCCTTGGTGTAATGGTACTAGTCTCTGAAAATAAACCTGATCTAGAGGAACCACTCAGTGCCCTCTAAGATTTTTCTACCAACTCATCAATCATTAGTTTGTTCTGTTGTCACCAAAATTTTCTGAAGGTGTTTAGTTCTGGACTAAAGCTTTCTCTTTCAAACAACAATGTATGTTTCAAAAACTTTGGGCTCATTTCAAATAAACTCATAAAAAAATTCTAAGTATGTGTCTGTGAGTAGATACGAATAAAAAATCTCCATTTACAGGCCTGTGTTTTCTGTTATATCCTGATTTAAACAGCTTTTGTTAAATATTTTTTGGAAACTTGTTTAGTATTGCAAGGGCTACTAACTTATGTTTAGTTAATTTGGACTTTATTTCTATATGGTATCTTTATCCACATTCCTCTTGCATTGCAGTCAGAACATTGTTGTCATTTTAGTTACTGCAAGCTGATTGCAAAAGTATATCAGGAAGAGTTGATTGGGAAAACTTCAGTGACTTGATTTTGAGAAGTTGTTGAAGATTTTATATGTAACCAAGTATTTGTTGTTACTGTTGTTTATAAACTGCTAAATTATTTTCAAGTACTCATTGAAAGTCAGATGCTATTAAGGTTTTTCAAGCCAGCTACCTGAAAAGACTAGCAGCTTCTGACATATGTCACCTCAATGAAATCATTGTTTCCTTTGCGTGTGATACTGAGCCATCTTGGCTTTCTCATCCCTCCTGAAATATGGTAAGCATCTCTTTATTTTGTTCCAGAAGACAGAAAACTCTTCGTGGGTATGCTCAATAAGCAGCAGTCAGAAGATGATGTGCGCAGGCTATTTGAGGCATTTGGCAACATTGAAGAGTGTACAATCCTTCGGGGACCCGATGGCAACAGCAAAGGTAAGGTGGTGTCTTGTGTCTAGCAGGACCCAGAGTCAGTGGGTAGGTTGTTCTCTGGAGTGACAAAGTCAATAGGTTGTAGTCAGGAGAGCATCTTCTAGATTAGGAGGGGTCACGTTTGCCAAAGGAGGCCACTTCTTTGCTGGTTTCTGTCTGCTTGTGCATGAGAAGAAAAAGCTGATTTCACTTAGTAACATATGTCCCCAATAATCTGTGTGCAAATTGATGCCCATTATAGTTTCCTCAGAGGGCAGAGCCTTCTGTCTGAACACAGGGCCTTTGCATTCACTCAAGATGTGCTCTTCCCACCCCGTTGAACAGACTCATTCTTTCTTTAAGCAAAAGATTGCTACTCAGCAGCTCCACCACTACTCCTGCTTGTTTCTCAGCCATCAGCCCCAGATCTTCTCCTTCTTCAGTTGGTCTTTACACAGATTCACACTGACCAGTGATCAGAATTAGAAGGGCTAGGGTGCTGATTTAAATATTACACCCTGTAGACACTTACTGCTTGAGACATGCACATCCTTCACTGCAAAACTAAGTGTCAATTTTTGGCATCACTTTTCTACCTGACTAGCACAAAAGATGCTTTTCTATAGCCCAGGTGTAAGGATGAAGCTTCCTTCTTACATGTGAAGGTAATTTTTTTCTCCCATCACTCTCTAGACAAAATAACTTCAATTTGAGTAGGAAGCCCTCTTCTCTTGACAGTATAATGTGTCCATCAAATATTGATCTGTGTATAATATATCATAAACTGTACTGGAATGAGCAACACAGGAGAAAAGACCAGTCCTGCAAATGCAGTTCATATCTCACTAGATATTTTGACATGTGACAACATCAACCGGCATATTTTTGTAAGTGGGAGGCAAAAAATCCAAATCACAGTGATACACTGGAGAAAGATATTGCTATTCCATAAAATCACTGGTGGCCAAAAAGACTTTACACTAGCGTTATAGGGCAGCTGTTTGATTTAAGTAAACAAAACTCAGCCTTTTTGTTATAAATGGCTGAAAATAAGCTTTGGACACCTTCCTTGGCTACTGGGATTTCATGGCACACAAAGACGGGGTCTGTCTCACTAGTAAGTGGTGGTTTAGTTTGGTCTAGAAGAACTCCAGACTTCATGATACTAGGCAATTAAGCTATCCATTCACTGAATAAGTCAGTACATTGGAGAAGAGCAGGGGAAAAAAAAAAAGAAAAAAAAAAAAGAAAAAATGTCTCCTGTCTCCAGGTGAAATTGTATGGAACAAAATCTAATGACAAAGAACTTAAACAGAGAAATAATAAAGGCAATAATGTCTGAGATCTGTAAGAAACAGGTATCAAAGGAGATCCAACCCACACAGCTGTATTCGTACTTTTTTTTTTCCTTATACGATTTCATTATAAGTCTGAAACTGAGTGGCAGCTCCATATTGCTAACCAGTTTAATTATTAGTGCTAGCTGTCTGCAGTCTCAGGCTTGCATTTCACTGAGCTGTTCAGGATCAATACTGAGCCTTGACAGAGTTAATATTACCAGCTTCCATTTGCTGGTGCTATTTACTGAGAATGTGAAACTCCTAATTTACACACACGCAGTTAAATACACACACGCACGCACAGAGCAGTCAATCCAACAGAAAACTTAAGGCTACTGCCCTTATTTTAGGAGACAGTCAGGCAAGCCACAACTCCCACAAAGTTATTCCCAGTCTGTAATGTCTTCCATCTGCTAGAAACCAATATGTGACACATATTGCTTGTGAGCTACTTATTTTAGGTGAAGCCCATAAGGCTTAAATTTCACCAAAATTGTGACTTAAGAAGATTGTCTAAGTGCCAGATAGCAATCAGATTCTGTAGACTTCAATTCTACCCAATCTGTTAATTGAAACCCCATAAGGCATCCCTGTCGTGAGAGCCTTAGTCCAACAGGTACCTGAAAGCAAGCACTACTCTGAGAAGGTAGGGCTTCCAACCTGGACATCACCACAGCCCAGTCACAGTCAGAACCTGCCTGAACCTTGTGTCAAGCCGTGGGTGGTGTCCTAAGACATGAAGAATACCATATATGAAGCTGCAGAAGCACCTACTGCATGAATTATGTTGGCTAGGCACAGTTTCTGGAATAAGGTAGGAGAAGGGCTGGAACTGAGGCATTTCTTCACCTGAAGGGGAAAGCAGAGCATGTCTCTCCTGGGTGAGATAGGAGGGGAAGGAGCCTTCCTGTAGCCCTCTCTGGGTAATGCTCACCAGTGTGTAGCCATGAGTCCTCAGGTGAGGAAGCTGAAGTGGATCCACTTCAGCAAGCCAGCAGGACCCACAGGGATGCACAGCTGGCCCCTTGGCAGACTCTTTT